CCAAATATATACAAGTGTATCGTACATTATAGGTACATCTTATCTAAATCAAAAATATTATTTTAACAAATAAAAGTTGTCCAAAAACAAATATGAGATCATACAAATTGCCAAGTATTTGATTAGACATAGAGAGTAGAGACAAATATATTTTATTCCAAATCTGAAAAATATTATTTTTTTCTAATAAATCGTTTAAATTATTCAAAATTATATGCAGCAAAAGTTTAATGCCATTGTCTTTTCAAATAACTTTAAGTTTCGTAAAATAGACTTAAAGTTATTAAAATAATCAATAGAATAATGAAACAAAAACTTGGCCTTTATGTAAAATTTTTTCTTTTTTTAAAATAATTAGTATCTTGATAACTATTGCGAAGATCGTAAAATGGTAGAGGACCTTTTTGTTCAGTTTGGTCCACACTATCTGCCCACAAGCGCTGTACCATTGAGTACGAGACACTCTGCAGTATACATATGTATATGTATATGTATATACAGGATGGTCCACTTAAATCGAACTCCTTGAATATCTCACTTATTTTTGAAGAAAAAATGTTTTAAATAAAAGTTAAACAGCTTCGAGGAGGACATATTTTGAGCGTGTCATTTTTTTCTAGGTGGAGGTGCAATGATATATGAAGGTCTTCCACTTTTTTGAATAAAATTATATGATTTTTTAAAAATAATATGATTCCTCCAATTATCTTGTATCTAAAAATATTAAAATGGAATTATTGAAAATTCAACAGTTTACGAGTTATTTTATATACTCATCCACAAAAAAAACGGGCACCTAAATTTTAGCTCAAATTTTTAATATCTTTCGATAGCGATAACTTTATGAAAAATCGTCGTATCGAGATGAACCTAAGCTCAAATTAAATTAAAGCTTGTCCCCTTGATAACTAAGAAAACCAAAATTGAGTTCCAGAAATGCTTTATAAAATGGCGGACGTTGAAGACATGCTTAGAAAAATAGGACAAAAATTTTTTCTTGAAACGCGCTGGTTAGGGAAGTCGGCTGTCTGGCATAAAAATTTGTGAGTTTTCAAGCTTATTGATTTCCTAACAAATCCATTTTTGATCACTTTTTGACGATTTTTTTTAACAAAGTTATAGTGTTTTAAAAAAGTGTTAAAAAACGGTCTATTTTTTCTTATGATCAGCTATGAGTCCAGATATAAATTCTATAGAGCATCTATGGAATGTTAGAACGAAAAGTTAGAAAACATAATCAAAATTTTGCAGCATTCCGCCACGCAAAAGGAATAGAATAATTTAGAACAAGAAACAATTAGAAATTTGATTAACAATATGCCCAAACAAATATACAAATTAATAAATGCGGGAGGAGGCAATATACATTACTATAATAGCGTTTTCGATTTGTTGACTCGATCCGACTCCGAGTCGATGGTCTGTTCTTTTTAGCTATAAAAAAATAGTTAAAGTGTACAAGAAACGCTAAAAAGAATAGACTATTTTGACTCAGAGTCGGATCGAGT